TTCATGTGCAAAATATGAAGGATTCTTCAGCAATTTTTCTACTCTGAATCCTAAGTGCATGCACATAACTCTGTAGTAAGGCAAACAGTTGCACAGCAATCTCTACTCCCACACTAGTAGTCCCTAGTCTGAATATAAATGTTATATGTCAGTGTTAAAGAAATGCTGCTTGCTTGACAATACTGAAGAAACTGAAATATACAACATGAGCACCGAAGTCATAAAAATGTTGATTCCTAATTGCATGCATCTATTTTAACTCAGGCATGTAATATTCCTCTCCCTTTGCACCAAGTGGCTACAAATGCACACAGGCCAACTAAATTGCTCTTGCAGATGTGGCATGAATAAAACTCAATGGCTCAAATCCCCATTCTCTTCACCTTTTAGTAATGAGCACATCCCATATCCACAGCAAACAGGTGTAAATTTCCATATGTTCTGTCAACAAAGGAAGGGAAACATGGTACAGCATAATACCACTAACAAAGTGGTACAATAATACGTTCTTGTACTTGTGTTGAAAGTTCTGAAGTGTATGTATATTGTATGAAATGACATGTTCTACATCCTTTGGTTGAGTCCTAAGAAGGATCTTTGGAATGTAAATAAACTCTACTCTCTACTCTACTCTACAATTCTTAAAGTTCTATTCTGTCCTGTCAAGTTCAATGTTACATGAGCTTCCCTTCAGGCAGCCTACAGAAATTTCAGACATGCTTCCTCAGGGGAGAAAATTTGGATGTGATCAAAAGAACACAAAGAAAATATTGAAAAGCCCCTAAAGTGCTCTTCTCAATAAGAACAAAGTGGGTAAGAAATAAGACTTATATTCACTATACTTAATCCTCCTCAATCATGCAAGACAAACACACTTAGCATTAGCAAAAAAGTGACACCAGTAAACTGAAAACTCACTATTCAAAGCCTGTAAGCTATTATTTAAATCAGTCACTTTTACCTTCAAATGGTAGTGAGTTCTCTTACTTACTGGTGTTTGAACCCAAACCAAACCTTCCGTCACCAATGAATTAAAAATCGCCCCAAGAAGTCACCAACCAAATAGCATCACCCCATTGTTTGCAGTTACTGAACCTGCTAAGAACAAATAACAAACAAAAGCCAAAAATTATTGAACTGTCACTAAAAGTCATTAATTGGTTTCTAGAAGAGCACACACTACAAAGCTATTACATAATGTTCTTCTAATGAATGGTATCTCAACAAATATGAGACTTTTAAAAGTTTTCACAGCAGTCTTCTGGATATCACATGTGTTGAAATGGTACAAATTACTGAAATTTCAGAACTAGCTGCGTGCTTCTTTAGGAATAAGTGTGAAAAAGCAGTTCAGAAATACACAGGAAAATAACCTGGCCAATAACAATTTGTCAAGCGCGCATGTATACACACGCATGTACACACACACACACACATCTTCCAAAACTATTTTTTCATCACTTCATCCGTGAAAAAGGAGGTAAAAAAATTCACCTAAAATATTTATAACATTTAGCATTTCCACATGGTATGATATCCAATAAATACTTAAAATATATGGACACACACACACATACCATTCTCTGTTGTAATTCCACGACACCTCAAACAGGAGACAAGAATGTATGTGTTTGTTGTCCTTAATTTTGCAAGATGTATTTTTAGTGTGTGCTTAAAGGAAATGATCCACAATGATCTTGCAGAGCTTATAGTATGTTTCAGAATAATGAATCATGTCTCCAAAAGTCTGAAAATATATATTTATAACAGCTGTCTTAAGCATGTTCCCATAAAATGATTAGTACAAAAACCACTTCTATTTTGCAGGAGGGTTCTGAAGCTCAAATGCAATTTCACATTCTTACTTCTGAATATGGTATATATTATCATTCAACTTTGCTTTTACGCATTACCTTAAACAGGTCCACAATTTTTTGCTAACAGACTAAGATTAATTTTTTCATCAAATTTGATTTCTTATTAAACATATAGACTGCTTGTAAACAATCTAGTAAATGTACAACAGCCCAAATGTTTTCTTGTGCAAGGTGTAAAACTTACAATGCCTAGAAAGATTCTGGAAAATCAGCACAGATATTCAAGAACAAACAGTAAGACACAGATCACTTGTAACACACAACTGAAAGAAAATCAAGTCAATTTCCCTTCCAAGAATTTTGGATATGTACCAATTACTCCCTAAGTCTTCAAATTGCCAAACCACCTGCAAAGAAACCATATTACATTAAATATAGGAAACTACTGACATGCATTACATCACCAGAACGGAAAGTGCTCCCAATCAGCTGTTTCATCAAGCAGTCAGGATAGACACTGTATGCTTGGGGATCTTTTCCTGTTAATCTGAAACACAGCTTTGTTCATATTTTGCGTCAACATAAATTACAGCAGCATGTATATGTTCAACAAGCCATTACTGACTTAACTGACATGGTGTGATGTTAATATAAATAAAGAAACAGCCTGCTTTAACAAGACTCAGTGGTAGAAATGTGAATACCAAAAACAGAAAGATACCCCTAGCACCATCCTCCTCACTTTGGTACTGTTACAGCCATCAGGGGTGGAAAAGTTCTTGGTAACTAAGATGTTAAAGGTGACATAATCATTCTGTTACATTTATGGCACTGGAAGATATTATAAACTCGGGTATTCACATTCTGAAACATCAATCTTCCCAAAATTAAACAGAACTTTCAATCCTTTTAACATTTGTGTAGGACTTACTCTTTCAATATGTTCTTTCTAATTTCTTCCAAACACAAATACTCCTACATGTGAAGTTTCCAATTCCATCATTCCTTCATCATTTAATTTATCACCAGAAAGAATTTAATGGTTCATAAGCTTTCTCAAATTTGTTAAACACTTGGATGCCACAAAATTATTTTTGTGGCAGGCAAGTATTGAAGTTATTAGTGTTGTTTCTAAGTAAATCAAAGTAATATGGTTCAAGTTTCATACAAGTAAAAAGAAGATGGATTATGTGAACTGATATTCATAGTCATATCTCTGTCTTGTCTGTTTTAAGATGGACAGCCTGGAATAATTTCTAAAATGTGTGTAATTTCTTCCAAAATGTACTGTCACCAACATCAACATCAGACACTTAACAAAGTGTACGGATAACAATATATTTACAGATAATGAGAACTGTAAAAGTATCACATTGCTTCTAGACATACGCTTGTTACTTCTTCATACATTTGTGCCTTCACAACTTGAAGATTTTTTCCACCCCTGCAACTGATATATATATATGTCTGTAGTTGTGGAGGGAAAATACAAAAATTGTGACATATGACTATCTTTTCTTGCAGACATCAACTGCAGTGACATGAAGGTGACGTACGTATTGTTACAATCAACTGCATGCCCAACATGCATCCATCAGAGTTGAATTTCTGATAATATAAATTTGAAATTTAAGCATTAAATTGGATATATAAAACTCTTTTAACCATACACCAAGGCATGCCAACACCATCTCAATGTGCTACCTGGTAATGTGCTGCATCAAATTTTGTATTAAACTGTTTTACACCTAACTGCTATAGGCTCTGATTTTGACGTTTCTGAAATTAATGAGCATGTGATGAGAAATGATTCATTAATGTGACAGTAATTGAATGGGTATGCACATAAAATGGTAAACCAGTCCTTAACACCGATACATTAAAACTTCTTTCCAAAATAAAACTTTATTTTTATGCTAACATGGGTACTTTCCACATGATGTGAACAAATTACCTAATTTACACTACTTTTAACAGGACATATTCCTTACAGGATGCAGAAAATTAAAAAAGTTAATTGCATAAAAAGTTTTTTGGATGTTATCCATCGTCTAATAAAATAATAGAATTGAACGACGTTTTGGAGATGGGACTCCCTCCGTCTTCAGGTATACCTACTCTGTTGGGCCCAATCGATAGAGCTAATCCCTATCTCCGGATTAGCTCTATCAATTGGGCCCAACAGAGTATGTATACCTGAAGACCGAGATAGAGTTCCATCTCCAAAACGTTGTTCAACTTCATTATTTTATTAGATGATGGATAACATCCAAAAAAAATTGTTATTTAAATAACTCATCATCGTCACAAACTTTTAGATTTGAGAAAAAAGTTAATTGTTCCACTCCTGTGAATTCTTGTAACACTCTTATATGAGTAATCCAATTCTGGTTAATTTCAGTATGTATAACTTCAGTTTTCAGATGAGAGCCACACTGACGTGGCTCTCACCCAAAAACTGAAATTATACATTGAACTCTAGCTGCAAAAAACCTAGACAATAATTTCAGTATGGTAGATCCTTGACTAACAAATACAAATAATTATATAAAACATCAGATTCACCATAGTTATGGTACACTGTGCATCCCTCTTCCTGAAGTGATAAAAACAACAGAATTTCATCATTTTCACACAAAGTTAGGAAAATTATTCACTTACAATGAAATTAAGACACAGCTTCCATTACCAGGTGCTCAAGCCATAGGCAGGTCTCCAGATAAATTAGCACACATTTGGTAGTTCCCACTTACATGGCATGCAAAACTGAAGCATTGACTTCCCTGGAAATGACTGTATCAGCAACAGGTTTAACACAAACACAACAAAAACTGTAACTACAAAGTTTGATAGAGTCCGCCTACCTTTACCTTCCAGAATATGTGAGGTTGCAAAGGCTCAGCATAGCAACGATTTGTATGTAACCTGTTCCATTACGTCTTTTTTCTCTAAATATATATGAACATTCACTTTCAAAAAAAGAACAATAATTCTGTTTTCTAACAAAACGTTTGTGACAAATCTGTAGAGAACACAAGATCAAGAACATGAAAAGAAAACTTTTCATGTAGAATTTTAGTTCCACTTATCATCACTGTAACAAATATTTTATATTCCTGTGAAGAGTTCACAATATTATAAGAAAAAAGACCACACCCCAAGATCCCAACAAACATAACCTCATTAGCTGTGAACAAATTTCACAAAAATTGGAGTTTATTAATCAATCATCATATTTCTTACTCCTTGAAATCATGATACAAAAATAATACATTACTACCGTCTTTTGAGATTTTTAACTCTCGCTAGAAAAGCAAGGAGGTCTTTCAAGTATAACAAGTCAACAACAAACACAACTCTGGAGGTTAGCTGTTAGTCTGACACAGCAGCAATTTGAACTGAATAGCCCACATAAAGAAGACAGCCTACCACAGCTACCTTCTAGCGAAAGCCAAAAAGAGAACAAAATGTGTTACAAAACCTATGACAAATGCACTATTGAAATTACATAACTACAATGTACTTCTTAAAAATCAAAGATATTTACCTTCATATATTCCTATTAAGTGAGGAAAAAAACAGGAAAAACTAATATAGAGTGCAAATTTTGTTTGAAAATTAAGAACTTTCAAAAGAAAGCATTAACATACATAAAATGTTACTTGTAAACATGAGAGATAATAAGCAGGACTAACAAGACATAACAAAAAATAAAGTCTACTTGTTAGTTCCCACTTTGTTTTGTTCACAATTTCGCTCTTCTTACCACTAACATAGTTTGCTATATTTATCAACAACAAAAATACCAGTTATAATATGGTTTACCAGACCATGAATGAAGCATTTCTGAGCTAGCAAAAATGTATTTAATATGGGTTTCTTATGACCTGAAACCTTGGTTCGTGCTTGGTCCCATGATCCCACAACAAACACTTACTGACACTCACACAAGATTTGGGTATATTCACAATAACAAAAGACAAACTGCTGTTATGAAGAAATCAAAATGGTTGCACTTTGGGGGAAGGATTAAAAAATCCTGTCTCTGATGTATGGATTAATAAAAATAAATCACTGTAGCGACTTATAAGTCAAAATTAAATAATTTTCTTTGAATATCCTTAAACATAACTATGATTTGGCTGCACTGGGATCTCAGCTGTTGACTTTTTAAATGAATGACAACTATAACACTAAAGAAATAAACTCTGGGGAGCAAAAACCTTATTCTAATTGGTACTGGGGGATTTTTCTATGAGGTTAAAGTGTCCAGAGCATAAAGCTTGTCACATGCCTCCATCCATTGTGGAGGTTAAGCAAGATGGGTGATTTACCTTCATACACCTGTAAGCCTCAATGGCATGGTGCTTAAGCACAAAAAGAACTTTACCCATTTCCTCTTTTAATTTCAAAAGACAAGACTGCCACAGTCAACAAAAATATGACATATTTGTTGTGGTAAAGAGAGTACAACCACTTAAGATATGGTGGTATTATGGTTGCTCTGTTATTGTGTCCACCAAACCTTGTGAGATTATCATTATAAACCAGTACTCATTCAACAGCCCAAAGAAAATTTATAACCCATCTCCCTGTCTTATAAATGAAGGGAATATAGAACACACACAATTTTTTAAATTTTTCCCAGCACCACCTTCTTCCAAACTTACACAAAAGCCTATTCTATGGGTATCCATCCATCAAGCCAACAAGCAACATGAAGGTTACCTGCAAAATCTTAACACAGTATAAACTGATACGTCTTGTACAATGTCATACTTATTAAACTGAAAACTTATGGTGTAATGAGAAGCAATGTATATCAGAGAGAAATATAATTTGGATTGATAGCCCTTAGAAGAGGCTTTCAATTTGCCATCCATAAAATAATGGGAACAAATTTACACACAAATTACACAAATAACAACATTTGGGTATGCATGAGGGAAGTAACAAAATTATTTTTATGGATATCTCTGGTTTGTTAAATGAAGTAAGAGTATAAAATCCTGATCATGTCACATCAGTCTAATGTTTTTGCATCATTACTTTGTGAGAAAACAAAATGACAGCAAGCCCATCTCCATTCAGCACTTGATCACTTTAAAAAGTTACAGCAAAGTGTAGACAAGGAGAAATTCTACATCACAACACAACACATTCTTATGCAGTTCATTAACTTGATTTCTTGTTGCACAACAGATATAGGTGCAAGAGTTTACCTAGCCAGGATACACCTCTAACCCAGACAATATATCACTTCATCATAATTCAAACATGCTTTCTACTTAATTCTAATGGAAGATAAACTACTCTGAAAGAAAGCAAATACCACCCCATGAGAGTTTACTTTGTATTTCATAGTCAAGGTTCAAGAGTTAAACCAAATTACTTCAACAGTAAGATGATGTGAAAAGCACAAGACAAATCTCAACAAACATCATAAAGCTGCCAATATTATTTCAAAGCTTGTAAAATTCATTTACACTCTTGCAGAAATCACAACCCAAAATTAATATCATGTGGAATTAAACTTTTCCCTTCTGCATATACCATTTGCTTTCTTTCATAAATCAACAATGAATATCAGCTTACATGTGCAATAAAACACAAAGTGAAAATAGTTTGTGGAATCTAATGTATGTCATATTTTGTCACTTAAAAACTGAAATCCAAAATGAAACTCAGTTCCATACAATCAGCTATATATGCTTGGTATATGTTAGCGTGTATCACATCCACAACCTTGTCACCTGAAGGTATTGAATAAAGGTGAAATAGAAGCCTTCATTTTAATCTGCAAATCTTTAAAGAATTGCCAAACTAACACAACCTACATGCCACAGAGTAACAGTGTTAGTTCAAAGCAAAGGCACATGTTAATTCCTAAAAAGGCACTTGACTATTACAAATTCACAAATATTTGAGAAATGTACTCTCTTATACTTCACTGATGAGCTTCCAATTACATCCTGAAAATATACAATGTTAAACAAGCACATACAAAACTATTCTTCTGATATGGGTCTGACAAAACTCTTTTCAGAAAATATATATCTTTGTAGAAATTCAAAAATGAATGAGCAGGTGAAAGGCAAAAGCACCATAAAACTTTCTATATTTTCAATTCCAGTAATCAAGGAATGTAATATCAGACTTAGACTGAGGAAGCAAAACCTGTCTGAACATTCAAGAAGACTGTATTATTTCCTAATGACAAGCTCCTACAACACAGAGAACAACACTAAATTGTGACTATCAACATTGGGAGCCATCACGGTCATAGTACGTGAGCATTCTGATGAGTCAGCGAATAAAGTTACCCATGTTCGGGCCATATTTCCAATACAGTATATAGATGAGAAATTCAGATGTGAAATGAAAGTTGCCTGTATTTCCAACCAAACCTCAGGCATTACTGTCTACATCAGGATTGCTTGGAATGTAAGTACTGTGTGATTCATAACAACTGAATCTATTACCCTCAGCCATAGAGACCATCCATAGCATTTGTGAATGCATGTCTACTTACAGAGTTAGCAGCCTGGGTAAAATGTGTCTTATAGGAAGAAACTACACTAATAGTAATATTGCCAACATTATTTACAAATATTTTAGGTCAAAGGAATGTTGTCATTGGGACATACCCATGGAATGCTACAGACCACTTCAAAGTGCAGGGTAGAATTGAGTCTGATAAGCAACTGTTGGCAACCCTGCTGAGGGATGGAATGTTGTGGTGGTAGAATGTGGAGGCTGCCACTGCCTCTTAACTGCCCCTGAAGGTTGCATCTCTGCTGGGAAGGCATGCTCCCATGAACGCTTCAAACCCATAATTGCTGCTGCAGTCATAGGCGACTGTATGATGGGGGAAAGTATTCCATGAGGAGGGGGTGGATGAGCAGTTCCTGGGGAAAATGAAGCTCCAGCAGGTAACTGTGGTGGAGGCCCCTTGTGGTGAAAATTTGATGTGGCACCGAGTCCAGCCGAAGCTTGGGAAGGTAAAAGAGGGGCGCTTCCTAGCGGAAGCCGAGGTGGCATATTTAACAAATACAGTCCTGGAGGAGCACCAGCAACTTGTGAAGGATGAGTCGTGCCAGGAAATGGAGCAGCGTGAGGAATCAGTGGTCCATAGGCAGATGTACCTGTTGGGTTTGTGGGTGGAGGAACCAGCTGTGACTGAGCGTTAACTACATTGGATGTGGGCTTGGCTAACGAGACAGATACGGTAGGATTGGTTGGCTGACCAGATGACACAATACCTGTTGTAGCACTGCCATTAAGCTCATTCCAGTTTTGCTTTGCTGCAGGGTTACTGGAAGAGGTTGCTGCAACAAGGGCAGCAGCCATGGCAGCTTGGTGCTGCTGGGCAACAGCTAACTGGTTCATGAACCAGAGACCTTCTTGCTGAGCCTGTGACTGTCGGATTGCTAGATTTTGTTGTGCCAGTGCATGTGCCTGCACTTGCTGAGCAACTGCAACTTGAGCCTGCACTAATGCATGGGCAGGCTCCCATGAAAGGGCTGGTGTAGGAGGTGGCAAGGGGGTGGCAACTGCACTACCAATTGGTGGGGGTGGGTGAGGTGGCAACATACCAGGAGATAACAGAGCAGCTGCCTTGGCAGGAGACACAGCGCCGGCTGGTATACCACCGGTGAGCACCAGGTTCATGTCTTCGCCAGAACACTGAAACACTTCGATGTAGCGCTGCTTCTTCCCAAAGATCATGTAGCGATGATGCTTCTGCTGTGCTGATAAGAATGCACTCTGCTCTAAATCCATCTGGATGAATGCTTCACCAGAAGGCTGACCCTGCAAAGACAAATTCATTCTGTTGGCACCCTACACCCCCTGATGATGTCTGTATTTTCTCCATATCTCATGACATGAAAGACAGTTCTCAGTGTAAATTAACAAAATACACTATATACTTTTAGTAATAATAAATGTAAATATAGCATCATACAAAAAATTAACATAATGTTGCTCAGTCTTAAATTTTGGAGCCTATGCTAAGAACTAAATATGTTTTTAAAATGCGTTTAATTTTGTAACCAAAATATTTTGTACAAGAACAGTGAACAATTTAATTCTGTGCTTTTGGTTTGTATAATTTAAACTGTAGTGTTGGGATTATGGGACAGGCATGTGTTCAAGGCATTAAATTAATACTAATCATCTTGCAGTACCATGCTTTTGAAATTAAATAGGTTGTCATAGTAATAACATTCTAGACTTGCATATGCAAGACATACAGTTCTATCATCAGCCCAGTTACCACTACTGATTGAGGTGTCCCATGATTTTCCTTAGTCTTTCCACAAAAAATTCAAGGTCAGCCCCTCTAAATAAGCCATGACCTCCTCTTCCAATCCTTAACCTATTCATAATTTATGAATTATTTCAATTTCATGTTGTGCAACCTCTGCAGTTGGAGCAACAATGTTATATAAATTAGAAATCTCACACCAGATAAATCTGAAGAGGTTGGAGTTGTTTTTATATGTGATAAAGTGTTTCCAGTTTATTAGGGAAAAGCAAAGTTAGTGATTGGTACAATTTGTAAAAACAACAAACTAAAACTAAACTACCTCTTCTTCAAGACAAGCTAAGTGCCAGGTCAGAGACAAAGCCCTTAATATAATGTAAATAAATTGGGTGGGAATCAAAGCAACCCTTGCACTACAACCATTAGCTTATCTTCTGAGCTTCCCCATTCTTCTAATCTGCTAGTAGCCCTGTGCCTACAACAAAGCACAGCATCATACTTAGCAATATCTCGTGATAATTGCCTGGTTTCAGGTAATGCCTGCCCAAATGGCAAAATCATGAAAAGCTCTATATTAAAGAACTTTTTTATTGGTGGCCATAATCAAGACCTCCCTGTAGGTCACTGGGTCCTTAAAAAGGTTTGTGAGGATGGTGCGTTGTTGAAGCAAACTACTTTCTGGACATTATCCATCGTCGAAGATTAAATAAAACACAATAAACAATAAAAATTAAAAGTAAAAGTAAAGCAATTCCACTTTATGTCATGAAGGTGCTTGAGGGCAGAGGAGGTATAGCTCCTACTCATTCTTATGCAAGGCACTAGATGGGAGTGAGACATTACATTGATTAGAACTGGATTATCCATTGTCAATTTGATTTATGAAAATAATGGAAGATGATCATACTCTAAACTACATCAACTGCATGAACTCACAGTGGCTTAAACTGTTGTGAACCAGTATGATTCTTCTGAATGATAATATTAAACACACATCAGAATCAGGGCAGAAGAGGTCAGCTCCAAAATGATTTATCTCATTCCTAACATGGAAAATGTTAAATTAAATATATTACCATATATTTTTTGTAACTTGGTAATGCAATTTACCTTCTTCCTAGCATAGGAAAAGTTAAACTAAATGTGGTGATGAAAACTGGTGATTTAAACTATTATTGAGAATTTATGAAACTTGCTGTGTCTCTGTCTGTTTAACTTTCATGTAACTGTCTTATGTACCCTTTGCTCGCCCATTTACAGCAGAGTCAAATGTAAGGTTATGTTCACAGCTTAAGTTTGTATTTGACTGTTCTCCATAAAACAAGTACGCCACCAAAACCAAGCAGAACACTTAGAGAGTACAGCAACAAAACATACAATTAGAATGTCTTCTCATCTACAGTCTCAAGATTACAAAAACCTACTGAGAAACTCCAGACATGCATTCTAATGTATTAGTTTCTGCATGCATCTGCTTTCAAATCTCCTCTTATAATAAGTAATTCATTTTACCTCACTATAGTATTTCAGAAAACATGTTTGGAGCATTAATAACATAATCTGATATTTTAAATAAAACTTACCTGTGCATTGTAGACCATATGGACACCTTGGAAAACGATATTCTTTGCATGTTCTCCCAAAAAATCCAATATATGTTCCACTTGGGCTTCATATGGAAGCCCTCGAAGTCGTATGCAGTCTTTTCTTGTCCCTGAAGTGATTATATGTTGTGGCAACAGTGGCACTTGGGGTACTTGTGCTATCAGTGGCATTTGTGGTTCATAAGTTTTTGGGTCCATTGACCGATTTAGAACCTGTACAATAACAAATTTCCACAACACAATGTTATAAGTCACTCATACTGCCTGCTCAAAGCTGCACATGGCTTGGTACTGACAATCAGCTGACATCAATGTAACATAACCTCACTACTCATCAATCATGTAGTCTCACAGAGGGCAGCATTAACTTCAAGGACACACTGTTGGCATAACCTACAACTTCATTCACTATGATAATGTTTTAACAATACCGTATTGTTATTATTTTATTTAATTAAATGCCCCCCTTTTACTTAGTCCCTTATCCATAATTGGTTATGAATAAAAAGAAAGATCTGCACAGACAGTGCATTCATTAATCACTAATGTTCCCTAATGCAGTACAATATTTGTAAAGGACATGAGAAACAGGAACAAAACCAGAGAACACTGTGCAAGTCACAAATTTCACAGATAATTCTACTCTAACCATTATATTCACCCTCACAATATCAGTCCTCTCCCAAACTCTTTTTGCATTTACTCTCAGTCATTCACATTAGTGTTCATGGGGCCTTAAAACAGGCAATTATGACACAGTTCTACAAGAGAGAAAGAGAGAGATAGAGAGCATGTACTTGAGTCTCTTTAGCACAAAACATCACATCACCCACATCATACATCACAGAAATTGTGATTCCTTTATACTGCCTATCCTACTGGTTGTTTATATGTAGCAGAACTATTGTAATGGAACTAATTAAAATGTTCATATCATATAAAGCAATAGAGAGTTTAAAACTACTTGACGATGGTGAAGAGTCAATTGAATAAAAATTTCCTTGGATATTATCCATCATCTAGTAAATATAAAACGTAAAACGGCGTTTCGGAGATGGGACTCTACGTCCCACGGATGGATGGTGTGGTGATGTCTTTTTATTCTGGGACTTTCACTTTTTTACTTTGTCCGGAGATAGGGATTAGCTCTATCTAGTGGGCCCAACTGTGTAGGAACCTGAAGACGGAGATAGAGTCCCATCTCCGAAACGTCGCTTTACGTTTTATATTTACTAGATGATGGATAATATCCAAGGAAATTTTTATTCAATTCAATGGAGAGTTGTTTCTGAAGTATTCAGACCAGCAGCCCTTGATAATATTATAGACTTCACATGCCAGACACTCTTCTGAAACAAATATCCTCACAGAATTTGTGGAAAGCAATAACTAAGACTATAAAATATTCATTACTTTACCTATGTATAAACATAATCTACAATTAATTAAATATTCTCATAATGATCCTATACTGTAACTTTATTTTAACATACCAAGTAGAAGTCCAATGAACGCAAGCTGTAAGGAATAAATTAATACTATGATTTAATCCCACAGTTACATTTACACAAAGACTACAAATGTAATTCCAGACAGCTCCAATCTCTTAGTGTGTTCACTACATTACAATTATAGCCAGTGGTAACAGATGAATAAAATGTGCAGTTTAAAATGCTGCAGTTATAATGTGAATTAGGTAATAAAGTCTCACAGAAATTTTCACGGATATAAAATATGTGACTGCATGCTGAGTAATTTTGGTACTCCTATCTCAACATTTTCCGTCTTTATAACAATAAGAATAAACAATCTTTTTTCTCAAAGTTCTATTCACAAAGGTGTCATAAAAAGTGGTATATCTGAAACCTGAATCATGCTGTTTAATAACACTGCATTAAAATATACAAAACTATAATTTTACCTGCTGTTTCATATGGGTGTGAAACTTGGTCTACCGCCCTAAAAAAAGAACATGGACTGATGATGTTCAAGAATGAAGTGCTGAGGAAAATATTTAAACTTAAGACAGAAGGAGTTACAGGAGACTGGAAAAATTGCATGATGAGATTCGTAACTTTTCCTAGTCCCCATTTACTATTAGGGTGATCAAATCAAGGGGTACAAATAAGCATATCATGCAGCATGCATTGGAGAGTTGACAAATTCATACAAAACTGTACTCGGAAAACATGAAGGGAGGAGACCACTGAGAAGCTGTAACCCCCCCCACACACACACACACACACATATATTATAATTTTTGTTATCTTCACAGGTCAGTCAGGCATCCACATGGGTCATATGCTGCTTATACTGTTCACCTCTGCTCTCACCTGTTGGACCTCAGCTGTCGTGCTGCGAAAGAGTTCAATGTAGCGAGAGCCAATGAGTTCACGATGCTTGCTAAGAGCTTTGCCTGCATCCTCCTCCTGATTAAAGAGAACGAATGCATCACCTGTCGCTCGGCCATCAGGCTTCTTTACAAATAGTACCCCTTTTTCACCATCCATCACCTGACAGGAATTTTCACCTGCCTCAAAAAAGTCCAGCTGAAACAGATGAAAATAATATAAAATATAACCACTCAACAATGGCATATGCATTCATGTTCCTCAAAGTAGGGTAGGCCTGCATCATTTTCAAAATAAATTTTTGATTCGTCCAAATTTAAAGCTAACTGCACCAGAATGCCCAACTAAGTAGACTTTTGTTCCCCCAACAGTCACCTGAAAATGAAATAGAGCCAATCTCTAAACTTTCTGGTTTAAAGACATTTAGATGGATATAGCCCAACAGAATAATTACATATGATATGTCACACCATTGCCAGAAACATTTAAACTTTGTTTATTTAGCCAAATTTAACCGTCTGAATCTTCACATTCAAAATTATTCTTATCACGCTGTAGAAGTTTTATAAATCTTTACTAAATGTTTTACTCTAAAAATGGATAATTAGTCCACTGTAAGTGGGATTTATATCCACATTTGCACTGTTTGAATTACCAAATGCTATGTACGCCTTAAACTGCATGGCTACCAGCAACAGTTTTCACTGAAAACTAAAACTTACAAATGTTGATCACGGTCTTACGGACTGTGACGCCACATAGTCTTGTATATGGTTACCAATGTTTTTGGAGAAATGTACTACCTATTTCTTTAGGGTACCACCTGCAAGACCTCATGATGCTCCAACCCAGGAGACCAACATCATCCATCGCCTTAACTGCTGTGAGAACCTAAAAAATCCTTAAATATTACGTTGTTGGATGTCAGTTACTTACGACTTGCTTCGCTGTGCAGTCATATGGTAGTCCACGCATCCTGACAATAACCTGTCCTCCTCTAGACAGAAAAGCATGGGCTTCATTATTGCTACCTGCAAACATCACAAAAATGAATTTACTACAGCATTTCTAGTACAAAAATGCATATTCTGTTCTATTTCCTTTCTTTTCGTGTTTCTTCATCAGTTTACTTGGTATTAATTCACTTTCTGCAGAACTCTATTAAGATGGTGGACATCATTAAATGAAGGATTTTGAAGTTTTACATCATACGATACAGAATGTCCCAAAAAGAAGTATACACTAAGTATGAATATAAAAGTGGAAAGAAGTGTTGCTTTGGCACAAAATTCAGTACATACAATTATTTTTTCCTCTTTTGAAGTTTTCATCTTCCATTTCCGAAAACCATCATGAATTGATTTCACTTCCTTGATAGCGCTGTTTCATTATACTTATATTCTAGTAAAACCTGTCATCTTGTTCATCACCAAAGTTTTCAATAACCAGGTGTAAATGTAAAATGTAAATTTTGAGGGACATTAGGCATCCCAACTTCCTGTAGCTACACAGCAGTTCTTCTACAATTCGTTTTTTTAGTTCTTTTCTTTTTTTACTAACCACATTCATTATGCAAAGTTTTCTAATGTGTTAACTAGAAAAGAACCCTTCTTTGAGTTATGCATCACTTCATTTCATAAACTTTGCTTTCAGTAATTAAGACCATGACTATTTTTGTCCAAAGCCTTCACACAGTTTTTCATTAAGTTTTGAGTTTTATATACTATGAAGGAAGAAGTACCACTGCTCTTCCCAGCAACATAGTTGTCTCTCACTGGCCAATCCTTAACAAGACTGTGCTGTTCTATTGCCCAATTATCCCATATGCAGAGTGAACAACAATACTTGCTAAAGCCATCCTGTAATTCAAGCAAATATGATGACCTTCAAATGAACAAATAACTGGCAAAGACTTTTGTTTCTCATATTAACTGCATTCATTATGTAGGACATACTTCCATAAGATTCCTTCATACCAAAAGGATCGGCTGCAGGTATTGAAGGCTTCTTGTTCTACTTGCGTAACAAAACTGTCTTTAACTTACTTTAGATGAATTAATAAATAACCACCATAATCAGTAGTCCAATTATTTCTAGGCAAACACAAAAGGATTTTTGCAGATCATAAAAGTTTGAACATTTTTGATTTATCTCTGTGAATACAGAAATATTTGTAATTCAGCCACCAAATTCCATTGTTTCAGCCTCGATCAAAGAAGTTATGTTTATTGCTCTGAAAGATTTTATCACATAGTAAATCATTAAGCTCATTATTCTCAGTTAGGTACGGTTCTTGGCTACTCTGTAGAATGTAACTTAGACCAAAGGATATCGATAAACCTTCCATACAGTCCTTTTCTTCTTCATCAACAACAGAATGTTTTTTGCAGTTACAGCCATCAAAGGATCTCTGTGTGGTACTGACTTTATTGCAAGATTGTTATTAGGTGCTAATTTTATTTTTGCTGCTCCTCAAGAAGACTGGAATTTCTGTTCAGACAGAAATAGTAGTCTTCAAGGTAGCCGGTTGGTTTATGCCATATCATGGCATGAACCTTTTCTTTCCTTTCATTCATTCAATCAAGTTTACACAGCACAATATGTAGCACACATGTGCTGTTAAACTTTGTTCCTAATTTCCCAAGCAGCAACCAAAATAAAGGAAACAGGCTTGTTTCATCATCTTTGTTACAGACCGAAATTGCGGCTTTTACGTAATCTGTCCATATGTGCAACAAAATCAGTCTGGCGAATTCACAAAGCCATGATGTTTCTCTATATTAATTATATTAAGACTAGCACACAAAAAAGGCAGAAGACACAACGATCCTCAGAGGATATTACTAGCACCTAGCAGGCAAGTGACTGTTATGATACACAGCTTCCACCCTCTGGTTCTGTCAACATTCACTAATGGATGCTTATTTTACAAATATATGTAGAGAAAACTGTCATTTCAGTTTCATTTTACAATTTTCGCATCCAGATTTGTAGTCAGAATTAATTTAAAAGTTACCTTCTTTTGTGTTGCCATTAACTTGTTGCCCTGTGTTCATTCTCTCAGATCATTTTGAAATTTCCTAAGATGCTACATCAGTTAAATTCACTTCACGTCTTCACAAAATATTTCTGTAAGAACTATTTTAATATTTTACTATCAACTACATCTACTTAAAACTTTGCATACCGTGTAGTGTATTAGAATATAAAATAAGTAAACAAACAACTATTAACACTATAAAAAGACACTATTGCCATACGCGTTTCAACCTCAAGAGGTCATCATCAGTGTCATCAAGGAAATTAATTAATTTAATCAAATGGTTACTTATTTTATATTCTAACTGCATCCTTCCCACAAGGTTTTTCAACCAAAATTTTATACAGATCTCTTGCCTTTCAACGCAAACTAAGAGATCCGCCCTTCTCATCTGTGACTTAAATTCCCTAAGAACATAAAATTAAGAGTAAGAACTGAAAAATAGACTGTGTTCTTTGGATTTTTGTTTCAAACAAAACGCTGTTAGAAACAGACTTCTGTATTCATTAATATTCCTATACCACTACTTATTGCCATCTGCTCACCTCCTGCCACATTTATGAAGTCTTCACCAGATGCCTTGTAAACTTCGATGTAGCGATTACCAATATGGTGCTTATGCCTCTTAAGAGCCATATCGCGGTGTTCCTGGTTGATGAATCGGACAAGAGCTTCACCGTTTCGGCGACCCTGGGGGCTCAAACACAAAGCTACTCCACCCCTGGAAACCACAAGTTCAAACTCCTGATGTACAACTAAACTAGCATTCCTTTTATTCAAATCACATACTTCTAATGTGTTAAAAGAAGCGATTTTCCTCTGCAACATTTAACACGGTGGATAAAGCATTTTAAAAAGATATGTTACAAAGGCAGACACACTGCTTTTAATCATTATCACATTTCCTCCTTATGAGCCGGAACAGCTCAGTCAGTATAGTGACTAGCTACGGGCTGGACGACCGGGGTTCGATCCCCGACGGGGCAGAGGATTTTTCCTCTAGCCTCTGCGTCCAGACCGGCTCTGGGGCCCACCCAGCCTCCTCCACAATGGGTACTGGGATCCTTTCCCGGGGGTAAAGCCGGCCGGGGCGTGATGCTGACCACTCACCCCCATCTAGTGCCAAGGTCAAGAAAGAAAGGAGCTATACCTCCACTCACCCCAAGCGACTTTACGGCACGTAGCGGGACAAACTTTACTTTACATTACATTTCCTCCTTATGTTATGGTACTCTATATATATATATACTGTGTAAATTTACGCAAAAAATCCTCGCTTCTTCCTACATGCATCCAATATTTACATCAACAGTGCTATATCAATTATAAGTCTGCAGGGCCCATGTCCAGAGATTCTTATATTTCAGGATATCCTCCAATGATGAATTTGTCAGTCTTTTTAAGATTACCCTCCCTTTAAAAAATTCTAAGTTGAAAGAATAATGGACCCGAAATTTGATCATAGCTAAAGAGTCATTATTTTGAAAAATGTGTGTGTGTGTGTACACACACACACACTCTTTGTGAACCAACAAGCAGAATGCATAAACAATAATTATTACAATTTGACAATAAGCTTTCACCTTTAATACCACAGTCAGAAACAAATATATACATCTTTTGACATCACATTCCTCCCCCCCCCCCCCAATATTTGAACAGGTTGCCAAAAAAGTGTGCAATAAGGAAAGACAAAATACATCTTATCTTACAGTAGAGGAGAGGATCTCATTATTATGAATGATAAAGAGTTATTGCTCTGTAAACCATTACATAATTCATCAAATGTCCTCAAGATCTACTGCCCAAAATCTGCAAAAACTGTTTCGATACAAAACTTTTAAAACGGAACTAACACCAATTACGAAAAAAAGTTAGAATTAAACAAAATTACTAATATATCCATACAATTTAATTAACTGTTACGACGACATAAAAAATGCATCCTAGTGTGCTGTACAGCATTCTATAGAAGCTTCCTCTTTCTAAAATTGTCACAAGGCAATTCATTAACAAACTAAGCCACATAATTTTTTCTTTGATATATATAATATTAATTCATAAATTTATCAACAAATGTTGTTTTGCCCCCCCCCCAGATGCATTTCATTATTATTTATGAAAGCAATTTTGTTTACCCTAGGATCAACTTTGTTACTTCATACTTACGAGATAAAAACACTGGTATTTTCATGTCATGCTACTTTCTTCTCACACACACATATAAAATGCTCCAGATACTCAGCTGCCTTTCTAAATCTTTCTATCTTAAAGGCAAGATAAAAAATGCATTCAGCAACATTCAACAATCAATGCTTAGAAAGTTAAAACTGAAGGCAACCAAATTAATTAACATGACTCTTTATGAAATGGGGCCACTACAAAGTGTACACAATTTGTGCACAAAAACCAGTTACGATCCTCATATATTTCATTGTCATATACGCCATTTTCTTTCATGTGACTCTACACAAAGCATATAAATTAACAAAATAAACAAGTCATGTCAGTCAGCCCCCAAATTTCACTTCTGAAACAGCTCAACAGATTTCAAAGAAATATTATATTAAAGTCCACAGTGCAACAACCTAGACCAGTGGTATTCAACCTTTTTTGTTCGCGTACCCACAGATATAATTTCTCTTCAACTTTGTACCCA